AGCTATGGGTTACGTATGCGATGGCGGTAACTTACGTATGCAATTCCTATTAGGATACTCTGGCAATTTTTTTCGGACTCTGCCCGTTGGAAAGCCTAACGGCTTTGGGGCGCGCTTCGCGCGCTGCTAGAATGTTTGGATGCCTGGAATATATTTATTTAGCTCTGCCTTTTCATTGCTTCGGGCCTCCGGCCCTCGCCGATATTTGTTCTGTCTTCCGGGATGGGTTGAAGCTCGGGCCTTCGGCCCTCGCCTCGTCTTTCCCCGTTGGGACTCATCCTTCCACTTAGAGTCACTTCGGGCCTTCGGCCCTCGTCTTCCCCTCTATTGGACTCATCCTTTCAATTAGATTCACTTCGGGCCTTCGGCACTCGCCCCGTCTTTCCCCGTTGGGACTCATCCTTCCAATTAGAGTCACTTCGGGCCTTCGGCCCTCGTCTTCCCTTCGATTGGACTCATCCTTCAATTAGAGTCACTTCGGGCCTTCGGCCCTCGTCTTCCCTTCGATTGGACTCTTCCTTCCCAATTGCTCTGCCTTTTAGATGTAATGAAAGCTCGGGCCTTCGGCCCTCGCCAACCGGCGGGCCTTCGGCCCGCCGGGGCCAAAGGCCGATGAATGCTCTTCCTTTGACTATTGCTCTGCCTTTTAGATGTAATGAATGCTCGGGCCTTCGGCCCTCGCCTACGGCGGGCCTTTGGCCCGCCAACTCCTCGGCCTTCGGCCTCGGAAGATCTATGCTCTGCCTTTGACTTTTGCTCTGCCTTTTAGATGTAATGAATGCTCGGGCCTTCGGCCCTCGCCTACTCCTCGGCCTGCGGCCTCGGAGGATCTATGCTCTGCCTTTGACTATTGCTCTGCATTTTAGATGTAATGAAAGCTCGGGCCTTCGGCCCTCGCCAACCGGCGGGCCTTCGGCCCGCCGGTTCCTCGTCCTTCGGCATCGGAGGATCTATGCTCTACCTTTGACAATTGCTCTGCCTTTTAGATGTAATGAAAGATCGGGCCTTCGGCCCCCGCCAAACGGCGGGACTCCGGCCCGCCGGTTCCTCGGCCTTCGGCCTCGGAGGATCTATGCTTTGCCTTTGACAATTGTTCTGCCTTTCAGATGTAATGAAAGCTCGGGCCAACTTGTCTTGTCCAACTTGTCTTCCCCTCGATTGGACTCTTCCTTCCACTTAGAGTCACTTCGGGCCTTCGGCTCTCGTTTTACCATATATTGGACTCATCCTTCCAATTAGAGGCACTTCGGGCCTTCGGCCCTCGTCTTCCCCTACATTGGACTCTTCCTTCCACTTAGAGTCACTTCGGGCCTTCGCCTATTGCTCTGCCTTTTAGATGTAATGAATGCTCGGGCCTCTCCAGCCATTAAAAAGATAGCCCCGGCACTTAAGCGATTTAGGTACCAGGGGGCAATTATTTCGACTTCTCGATAATTTTCCTGGATGCCCCGGACCAAACTACCCCCCGAATGTCAAACTCCCAAAACCGTGCCGGCCTTCGGCCGGCCGTTATTTTTTTTCTTAGAAAAAACACTCCCTGAATTATAGGTATATAGTAACCAGCTTAAGGATAAATAGCTGAATTGGGTTGTAATACTCTGGCGGTTTGGTATTCTCGGGGGGAGCCTTTGATACCATACTTTTTGTTTTTGGAAAGCCTGACGGCTTTGGGGCGCGCTTCGCGCGCTGCTAGAGCTTTGGAGGCGCGTCCAGGGACGCGCGTGGAAAGCCTGCGGCTTTAAAAGGACGCTAGGTTGGAGTTTTTGCTTGGCGATTTATGTTAAATGTGTTTAGAATCCTTGGCTTTTCATTTAGGGGGCCTTCGGCCCCCAAAGGCACGAATTGTAATTTTGGAAGCTGTGATGCATTTTGGCAGCTGTGGCGGGTTGACTCGAGGCGTTTGGGGGGCCTTCGGCCACCCAAACCCACCGTTTAATAAAATACTTTGCCTTTTGGCAACTGTGGTGGGTTGTTTCGGGGCGTTTGGGGGGCCTTCGGCCCCCCAAACCCAGCGTTTAGTCGGATACTGTGCCTTTTGGTAGCTGTGGTGGGTTTATTCGGGGCGTTTGGGGGGCCTTCGGCCCCCCAAACCCAGCGTTTAGTTGGATACTTTGTCTTTAGGTAGCTGTGGTGGGTTTATCGGGGCGTTTGGGGGGCCTTCGGGGCCCCAAACCCAGCGTTTAGTTGGATACTTTGCCTTTAGGTAGCTTTGATGGGTTTACTCGGGGCGTTTGGGGGGCCTTCGGCCCCCCAAACCCAGCGTTTAGACGGATACTGTGCCTTTTGGTAGCTGTGGTGGGTTGATTCGGGGCGTTTGGGGGGCCTTCGGCCCCCCAAACCCAGCGTTTAGACGAATCCTGTGCTTTTGGTAGCTGTGCTGGGTTTACTCGGGGCGTTTGGCGGGCCTTCGGCCCCCCAAACCCAGCGTTTAGACGAATACTGTGCTTTTGGTAGCTCTGGTGGGTTGATTCGGGGCGTTTGGGGGGCCTTCGGCCCCCAAACCCAGCGTTTAGATGGATACTGTGCTTTTGGTAGCTGTGGTGGGTTTACTCGGGGCGTTTGGGGGGCCTTCGGCCCCCAAACCCAGCGTTTAGCGGATACTGTGCCTTTTGGTGGCTGTGGTAGGTTTACTCGGGGCGTTTGGGGGGCCTTCGGCCCCCCAAACCCAGCGTTTAGAAGGATACTGTGGTTTTTGGTAGCCTTCGGCCCAAAAATGCCCCCACACTGAAATCTCTGACCCACATAACTTTGGCAGACTCAAGTGGTCCCTCTTAAAGTTTTATATTTTTTCGATGGATTTGAGGTTGCTCTACAACATAACGTAAGTATTTTTTATTTATTACCCCTCCTTTGGTACCCCACTTGGTATGGTACCACCCAACACCGAAATTTCAACCCTCTATAACTTTTGCCAAAATGGTCAAAAAATTTTAGAAAAAATATTTTTAGACTCCCCTCGGTAAGGGCTTTCGATTGATATAACATTTGGCCCATTTATTCCCATTTTGGAAAAAATATTTTTTTAGTCGAAAATTTTGGCCGAAAAAATCGACCAAATTTTCAAAAAATCATAACTTTTTCAAAGTTAACCTTTTTTGAATATTTGTAAGGGTTATTCTATGCAGAAAAATCTGCTCTATCCAGGAAAAATACCTATGCCCCGAAACGCCGGCAAAAATCAAGAATTTTTTACGAAATACCGAAAATTTTTCGAATTTTCGAAATCCGACCCCCTCGGGCCCAATTTCGAATTTTTTCGAAATTTTTTCGGCTTAAAAAATTTTTAATTTTTTACTTGATTTTATAAAGGAGACCTCATCCCGATCCATCAATCCAAAAAAAAGTTATGGCCACTTAAAATTTCGCGAATTTTCCCCAAAAGGGGTACCCCTTTGGTTCTGAGGGCGGGGACAAAATTTTCGAATTTTGAACCGAAATTCGACCTATATGGTGCTCTCGCACCCGCTGAGTACGAATCCGGCCTCGAAAAAATTTTAAAAAATTTCCCCGGGACGTTAGAGTCTCATAAAGTTTTCGGACATTTTGCCACATCGGCTATAACTTTTTGAGACTCAAGTGGACCCCCAACATATTATACCTTTTTCTGACCGCCAGGGGACGCTCTTTCGATCTGGCTATTGAAATCGAGTTTTAATTCACGTTGCAAAAAGTCAACTTTTTGACCCGGACACTTTGGACCATAACACTCCCAAAAGTTCACCCGAGACTCTAGTGGTCAACTATTCATAACTTCCCAACATCCAGCCCTACAATACCACTCCCAGGCCCCAAGACCCCCCAGTTCTCAAAAACGCATTATAACGCGTTGAATTTTTGAACCGGCCATTTCGGCGCCACACTCAAGTGCGGCACCAAAATGACCCGTCCCAAAAAATTTCCCATAGCCAACTTACCTACTACCCCCCAGGCTCCATCTCAATCCGCCCAGCCGTTCCCGAGATATAGAAAACGTACAATTGACCGCTACCCCAAGCCGCGACATTTGCGTACATGTCAAAAACGCTTACCGCGGCACTTCGGTATTTAGACTTCACCGAATTTAGAAATTTTTTTTTTAAACATTATCTACTAATCGTGGCGCGCGTGCCTCCCAGCGGGACTTTTCCGCTCCGACTTCTGGTTCACGAGATAAAAATTTTAGTGGGGTCGTTTCGGCGCAAAGGGAAAGTCGTGGCGCCACAGCTATAATTTTCCTGAATGCGCCGTAAAAAGTTGCCCCCAGGATGTCAGGCTTCGGGGAAGCGGCCGGCCTTCGGCCGGCCGATATTAGTTTTTAAATTTAATTGAGCTTAATATTTTATATAATATAACAATATTGTCAGCTTTTTCTCCTCTTCCTCTTCATTTCTTCTTTCAATCTTTTTCTTTTTTACTTTGCCAGTCTGGACAATGTTTATGTGCCTTGGCGTGCCAAATGCCAAAATCTGTCACTGACAGCATTATCTAGTCCTCAATGGCGTAAAAGCATCGTATTCTTCTTTTAAAGTGAAAATGATGTTTGATATAAACGGAAGAATATATAAAACCTTTTGAGAATCTTTTATTTGTTTATGACTAAAACATTTGTGTGTACTTTTAAGAAAATAGAAAAATTTAAATGGAAAATGAAGAATTTAATTAAATATTTAGACAAATTGATAAAACAAAAAAGAGCAACGGAAAGATTTTTGATGCTAAAATATTTGTAACGTTTTCCTTTTCTGTGTAAAATACAAAGGGTTTAAAATTAAATTATTCAAAAATTTCCAATATTTTTCTACACTTTTTATTGAAAAATGTGAACAAAAAAAAAGAATTTTTTCTTTGTTCATTCAGTTAATGTCCTTTTAGTTCCTGTTTGTCAGGTTTTTTCTTTCTTTCCTTTTAAGACTATTAATTCACAGTTAAAAATTCTCTAAATTTCTTTATCTTTTTACTAATTTTTATTTTCTCTTTTTTAAATAACAAAAATACCAAACGGCCACCCTGCCTAATTTTTGCGCATTAAATTAAATAAAAAAGAAGGATATGCCAAATAAAGAAAGGAATAATATATCCTCCTTTTTTCTACCGAATATATAAAATAAAGGTTTTTGAGTTTCTAACAATTCACAATGCTCCTGCAGCGCCGCATTGTCGGCCTCGTTTTTCTTCCGTGACGAATATTAATTTGACATATTTGGTGGTTGTATATATTTTCTTTTTGTCCTTTATATGGTTTTGGACTTTTCTTCTTCTCTTTATTCCTCCCTTGGGTATTTATTGGACCTTTCAAATAGGTGCAGAAAAAACGTATCAGTACTATAGCTACTGCGCAAAAAGACATTTAAAAATTACATTTTTATTTAAATAAAAATGTAGACAAAGGAAAGTGTAAAAAGGATAATAAAAGGGCAGAGAAGGGCATTTTAATAAATATTTTTTGTTGTTGTTGATATTTGTCTCTTTATTATTTAAATTTTTTTGAGAAAAATCTTTGTCCTGATATTTTTTCTTGATTAAAAATACTAAAAACTTGATTAAATATTTACAAAAAATCTTAAAATGGAAATTTAAAAAAAAACTAAAAAACAAACAAAAATTTATTTGAAAGATTAGTTTGGAAGTTTTTTTTGGTTATTTTCTTTTTAAAAAAATCACGAGAGTTAGACCACACACTGCGCTGCACAAGAGTCATATGTGAATAAAGAAAATAGTTATTTTTATAAAAGATTAATAATCAGTCAAAATGAGCCGATTTTTGGAAGTATATATTAATTAATTATTTATTTATAAGTGCGAGGGACCGATAAATAAATAAATGTTTGAATAAAAGAATATTTTTAATTAACTCCAAATAAGCCTTAATAAAACAATTTTTAAAATTTTAAAATCTTGAGAAAAATTATTTTTTTTTAATCATTCTATTAAATCTCTTTATTTTACTTATAATTTTCTAAAAAATTAATTGGGAGGGGGGGGGGAGAATATTTAATTTTTAAAAATTATTTTTTAATATTTTAAGTTTCGAATGCTTCTCGTGCAGCTTTAGAGGAAGGTATTGGTCGAAGTCCTCCAACTTTGACAAGCTCACCTCCATTGATCAGCGAAATTGAAACAAGCAGGTGGGGGCTATTTTTTAATTTATTTAAAAATCTTTTTTTAACAATTTCCTTTCAATTTTATTACAAAATAATTGCCTATTTTTTAGGTGTTATATTTCACATCTCTCTTTATTTTTTCTTATCTTTTTTTATTTCCTTATTTTTTTCCCACAATTAAATATTTTTTTTGGTTAAAGTGCATCCTGTTTTTAGTAAAATAAATAAATACAAAAATAGTAAAAACGTTTAGAAAAAGCCAAAAAAGAATTTATTTATTTATTGTTAGACCCTTTAACTGGAATTTGAGAAGAAGAAAAAAAAAGCTCCCCCCAAATTCTTTTTTGTCTTTTTGTAGAAATAAATTTACCGACAAGCTTTCCCACTTTAACATTTTTTACTTAAGTACTATTAATTTTGTTTGTATTACTCAAAAATTGTTTTTAAAATATATATACATAAAGGGTTGGAAAAAAATATTTTTATATTTAATATATTTTTTAAAAATTACTTGTGTACTTTTATATATTTTCTCTCTAAATATATTTTTGTGTGTATATTTATTTATTCTCACTATTTGCCATATTTTTGGGCAATGTTTATTTTTCTTTTTTCACCATTTTCTGACATCTTAGAAGGGTGGGCCAATCCCTCAACTGGAAGTGTTGTTTTTGTGAAAGAGATTGTTTGTGTGCTGTTTCTGTTTGCTGAAAAGCCAAACAAGGAGGTAAAAACTCTTTTCGTGTCCCCTCTTATTTGTGTGTGTGTGTTCTGTCATGCCAACGTTTTTGCGGTTTGCTTTGACGAAGCCCGGCTGTTTATGTGTGTGTACATAATATATATAAATATTTGCACTAAAATTCACCTTTTAGAGAAAGTTTTGAGGTTTTCTTTACAATTAATTTATTATTTTGTTATTCCGCACTTTTAAGAAATAAAAGAATAAAAAAGAAAAATGATTGAAAATTATCAAAATTTACTATCAAGTTTTGACGATTCTGGGGTGTTTTTATAATGTTTATTTTCCAGAAAAAAAGTTTTAAATTTTTCTTTCATTTTTTCTTCCCTCTATTTTTAAAGCACTAAAAACTTTTGAATTGGTTGATATTGTAAATACATGTTAAAACTTTTTTCACATTTGGTTTCTTTGGTTATGCCTCATTGGGCAACATGTCTATGTGTATATTTACCTTGTCTATGTGTATATTTACCACCTGGCCAACCTCTATTCCAAACCAATTTAAATTGCTAGGCAAATACTAGAAATGCTAATAAAAGCATTAAAAATGGTGATGGATGAAGAGAAGAAAAACCCTGTTTTTGTTAAAGAATTGGGGAAATAACAGGGGGAGAGAGGATTGTAGAGAGAGAAAAAGAGGAAGAAGATTTAAGGATGACGAAAACGTTGATGGTGGTCCTTCTTCAAATTTACAATTCTCTTTTTTATAAAAAGGAAGAAAAAATTAGGGAAGAATAGAATAATGAGGGAAATTGGGAGAATTGGATTTTAATTTTTCTTCGACCATCAACAAAAACTAAATACAAACACCGCTCGCAAGTTATTTATTTTCTCCCGCTGGGATTTTTGAAGAGAAAGAAGAAAATTGAGAAGAAAGGCTGTTTGGTTGTAGTTTTTGGGAAATGAAGGGTGTAGAGAAGAGGGGGTGAAGGGGGGAAGGGGGATTCGTGCGGAAGGGGGATTCGTGCACACGTTCCTCTTCTCCTTCATTTTAGCCGTGACGAAGATTATTAAGAAGAATAAAAAGGCCTTAAGGAGGAAGGGCTAATAAAAAGTTGAAAAGGATTTGTCGGTCTTTTTCGTTTTCTCTCGAATATCGTAAAAATCTTTGGTGGATATTGACTGAGATGAGAGAGGAAATTGAAGAGAATTTGTTAAGAAGATGAAGAAATTGTTTATTCGAAGGGGAATTGATTTTAAGCAAAAATTATTTGAATTTTAATTTTTCCAAAAATCGTTTTTTACTATATTTTGTCAAGAATCATTTTGTCATTTTCTCTTTAAGTGTTTGTTCGTACCTATCGCGGTTTATATTATTTTTAGTTTTTGGGTATATAAAAATACGGGTTTGGCCATAAAGACGATAAGAAATGTGAAAAATAAATTTATTGCGATAGTTGATTACTATCTCTATTAACTAAACAAGGTAATTTGGGAAGCTGCCAAAAAAATATAAAAAAATTCCATCGAATCAAAAATTAAAAACAACGAATGTAAGAGGGAAATTACACAAATTTAATAAATCTTGTGTCAGGAGATTGAAAAGATTGATAACAACTACCAATTAAAAGGAATTTTTATTGAAAGGTTATGAGCAGGTGTTTTTATTATTTCAAGCAAAAACAAGTCTTGAAATGTAAAAATAATTATTAAAAATAGAAGAAAGAGGGGAGGGAGGGGGTTATATTTTTAATTATTATTTTATTATTTTATATCTCTTTTTAAATATCTCTAAATTTACATTTTTATATAATTTATTCATTTTCTGCCATTTTTAAATCCTTGTTTAGTATATGCACAAATAAATACCCTTTGCGCACCCCCACCATCATTTCCACTTTTTACAATTTCCCACAAATCATTAGCTTTGTTTGTCAAAATGCTAAGCCATCTTCAAATCTATCTTGTTTCTCTCTAAGCTTGCCTTCCGTTTTCTGGACTCTTCACATGTTCTTTTCTCCAATTATTGGGGGATGCACAGAAGGGGGGGGGAGTGGGGGGGGGGGATGTTGTGATTAAATGAAAAATTTTCTGGAAACAAAAAACGATTTTTTTATTTAAAAAATTGTTTAATTATTTAGTTATTCTATTTCTGACACCCGTAGGAATGGGCTCTAGTCTTGTGATGTTTTAAATGACCAATCATTATTATTTTTTATCATTTATGTATAATCTTTCTCTCTCCTCTCTCTATTTTTTTAAAATTCCAACAAATTTTTTTTGTTAATCCATTAATAACTTATTTATAAATATTCTGTTTTTATTTAAAATAAATATTTATTTATTTATTCTCTTATTTTTATATTTATATTTACCAATTCTTTTTTATTTTCATTTTTTTCTTCTTGGCACATGGCCAAAACATCATTATTTCTCTCCTTCTCGTTTTTTTCTACAAAAATATTTCCAATTACCCCCGCTGTGCTCTAAAATTGTTTTTATTTTTTCTTTCAATTATTTTGTTATTTTTCGAACTTTTATTTGGTTTCTACCTCAATTCGACTCTTTCTTTTGATATTTTATGATCGGCGTTGTTTGTCTCGAGATTGGCTAATATTCTCAAATATATTTTTAAATTTTTTTCTTTTTTTATTACCTTTTTATTTTTATTTTAACAGCCAAACAATTCTCTTTTAGCTCTTAACTTTCGTTAAAGAGTACTTAAAAGAAAAAGTAAATCTTACAAACAAAACTCTTCAATTTCTCTTTTTTCTTTTTTTTGGCCAAGAAAATTTTAGGGGAAGAAAGTTGGTAGAAAAAAAAGATTTATTTTAAATAAATAAATATATTTAATCTTATTGGAAAATGAAAAAAAGTGTTAAGAAATAAATATTGGAAATAAATAAAAAGATTAAAAATAAACGGGGAAAGAAATAAATATATTTAAATTGGAAAAAAGATAAAATTTTAAAAAATGTTTTTCCATTAAATTATAATATTCTCAAAAATTTCCCTCATCTATTTTATATCCTTTAACTTTTGGCTTCTTTTTTCAGTAATTTCTGATATAAATTTTTTATTTAAATTTTCTACATTTTTTTCTCTTTTTTCATTTGTTTCTTTTTATTTTTCCTTTGTCGGCAGCTGGCAGTTGTCCAAGTATTGGCAGTTACATATTGCTTTTTTAGATCATTTGTCCCTACTTTGTACCACCCCCTCTTTCTTTTTATATTTTTCTTTCGATGTTTGGAACTGTGGGAGAGGGAAAAAGTGAAAAAAACTGGTTTTTATTTTGTTGTTTACAATCATTTTATTTTTTACGACTGATTTTGAACAATTGGCAGCAATTGGAGGGGAAATTTTTTTTCTTTTTTTTTCTTTTTATTGCTAAAATACAATTTACTAAATTATTTTTATAAAAATAAAAATATTAAAAACTTTTTTAATCAAAAATTTTTGATTAAAATTTTTTTGATGTTCTGAAATTACTGATAGGGGGATTACTGACTTTTCTTTTAAATTTTGGAGATTATAATACAACTAAATATTTTGAAGAATAATTTAATTTAGATGCCGATTTATTAATTAAAATATTTTAATTTTTAAATATTTTTTAATAGCAAAAATTTAGAAAAAAAAATATTTAAAAATTTATTTATTTCTTCCTTTTCACTCTCTCTAACATTTTCCTTTTCTCCTATTGGCTATTTGCTGGCAGAGAGCACAGAAAGTGAAGTGGGTGGTTTTGTGTCTGTCATTTCCCTTTATTTATTTTAGGTTATAGAACAAGAGAAGGTTACGCCGCTCTTTCCTTTTTACTTATTAAAAGTCTTTTTTTTTCACAATTCTCTTCATAAATAAATAATAAAAAAGGGGAAAAATAAAAGGGAAAGAGGAAGAAATTAAATTGATGGCGATTATTTTGTTTGGATTTTAAATAAAATTTTTTAAAAAAATATAAAAAATATTAATTTTTGGGAAAGAAAATTTGAAGATTTTTGGATTTTAAATATTCAAAACTTTGAATACTTTTTCCAGATTTTCTGTTCAAGTTTTAAGTAAAAAATAAAATGTAATCCCAAATCACTCTGAGGAGGGCCAATGAAAGTGACGTGTTATTTATTAGGGGGAATTATATTAACGGGATTTTCCTGAAAGTGTATCAAATAAATAATTTTAATTTATTCTTCGAATTAAATAATAAAATTAATTTGGCATATTTTTAACCAAAATTATTATATTTTAACCTTTTCTAACTTGAAGTATTTTTTAAAATTTTTTGAGAATAATTTGGTTTATTATTTTTTTAACAAAGAAAATATTTTTTATTTTAAAACCCAAAAAATTAGTATTTTCTAATTTTGTTTATTTTCTGTTTTTACGTTTTTGGAAGTTTTTTTCTCATTTCCTTTCGGCTCTAAAGTAAAATCAAAACTGGAAATATAAGGAGGGGTGGACGTTTTAAATAAACATAAAATAGCAAGTCCAAAATAAATTTATTTTCTGTAAAAAATAAAATAAGAAAGGAGGGAGGGGGTAAAAAAAAGAATATAAATTGTCAAAAAAAATATAAAAAAGTTAAATTATTTAAATAAAATATAGAATAAATATATTTTTTTCTAATTTTTTCAAAATATCTAAATTATTTAAAGTGGAATAAAAAATTCTCAAAACCTTTATAAATTTATTTTTAAGTTAATTTAAAATTAAAAAAATATTTTTTAGTTTTTTGTTTAAAATAACTATATATAAATTATTTAAAATTTCAAATTTATATTTCTTTTAAATGTTTGTAGTTTTCCTTTAAAAGTTTTTCTTTTATAAATTTTTAAATAATTTAATATTTTTTTTAATTTTTTGTTTCCTTTTGTTTTCAATTTTTACTTAATTTAAAATTCTTTAAAATAAATTACTGTATTTTTGGATAAAAAATTATTTTTGAATTTATTTTTAGGGACCTTCTTTTTTTCTTTATCAATCAAGAATCTTTTTATGTACATCTAAATTTACTACAATAATTATTTTTTTATTTAAAGAAAAAAATTTTTTCCTCAAAACCTGAACAATTAAAATAATTTTTTTTATTTTTAAAAAACTTTGGCAAAATGTACATATATTTATTTATTTTTAATAATAAAATAACAATAGATATTATGTTTGGAGTGTCAATATAATTATTATATTTTTATTTATTATTGGAAAATTGCCGTCAGAAAATTACTTTTAAAATTGTTTGTTTGACAAGAAATTATTAAATAAACAAAATAAATATATTTATTGTGTTAAATAATATTTTGTCAATTAACCGGTTATTAAAATAAATATTTATTTGTACTTTAATATTTATATATTAAGTTCCTTATTTTTTAAATTACTGTAGAAATTGAAAGGAAATTGAAAAAAATTTTTTTGAGGGAAATAAATTTTGAAAAAAAATATTTTTTTTTATTTTTTAGTTGGGATAGTTGTGGATGTGAATCGGGAATTGTTTTGCGTGATTCGGCTGAGAGAGACGATGCTTCCCGTAATGTTGATTTGTTGGAGGCTGCTTTAGGTGGTGGGGAATTGGTGCTTGATATTGATGGGAAAAAACAAATGGGGACGACATTTAGCGATGAGACAGCCGGAACTACTCCTGTACAGAGGTAAAAAATTTTTCTCAAAATTTTCAAAATTTATTAAAGGCCTGGTAATTTATTATTTAATTAAACACCAAAATATTTAACATTTTTTAAGCCAAAAATATTTTTTTATTTTTATCAATTTTCTCATTAATAATTCCCCCTCCCTTCTCGCTTTTTTTATTTAATTCTTGTTTGTTTCCACATTTTCCAATATTTTTAAGGATCGGGGCAATAAAATGTGCAATTCCCAATAGAGCTATTATTATTATTCTCTCTTGGCTTTTGCTTAATATTTTGCTTTTTTACTTTTAAAATTATTTTTGTTTGGAAAAATGGAAATAAATAAATAAATAAATAAAATAGATAACAATATTTTCGTTTGGAAATCTTTTTCTTTCTTAAAAATTTATTTTTAACCTTTTAACACTTTTGGGAAAGAGATATTTAATATTTTGGCAACTTTTTTTTAAATTTTTGTATAGAAAATCTCTATGGGATTAAAAATTTTTGGAAAAAAATTTTTTCTTATCCCTTCCCCTCTTTCCTCCAATACTTTTATTATTTTAAATAATAAAATATTGGCAACATATCTATTAATTCTTTCTCGGTACCAAACAAAAAAAGAGGTCATTTTATTCTTTTTTTTCCATTTCCTTCTCTGAATTATAACTCTTATTCTAATACATTTTTACACATAAATATTAATTCACACTCGGTCGAGTCCAAAACTAAAAGCAGAAAAACCCCCCAACCCAAGAGAGCATTACCGACAAAATACCATTTTTCCTTCTTTTTCATTTTGTCTGGAATAGAGGCAGTAGTGTGTCTAGGATTATTAATGGGGGGCATTGGAAAAGGGGCTATCTCCTAGGGGGAAATGTGTGTGCCAAAGAGATTGGAAAGAGACAAAAAAATTATGAAAAAAGGAAAAAAAATTTTTATGAAAATGCCGACTGCAACATTGTTATTTTCGAAAATTACAATGGCTACATAGATGACATTGGGCTCTGAATATTTAATGGGGAATTGAGGGGGAAGAAGAAAAAGAGTATTTTTACGAGATTAAAAAGACGAATAATATATTATTTTATTATTTTTAAAAAGTACAAATTTTTGTTTTAAAAATTATTTTTGAGGGACTTTAAAAAAAGAAAAAGAAAATTATTTTTTTCTTTAGCAAAGACGCATTTCCGGCACATTTTCATTCCTCTTCTATCACAAAAACTTCAAGTAGCGGCACACTTCCTTTGCCAATTGACTTTTCTTCATTACGTCAATCTGAGCTTTTTGGTTCTGCTAATGTCTTGGATGACACACCGACACCAATTGGTTCTCATAAAGCAACTGGACAGGGTGCCGCTTTAATGGAAATGGCTGTTGCTGAGAATAGAGCAAAGGCTGAAGAGAATACTCAAAATGTTTTTTGAAAAATTCAAAAATATTTTTAAATATTTTTTGAAGGAACCCGGTGCACACCAAGGAGCATTCCGTCGTGTTTTGCGACGAAATCGGCGTAATTCCAATTCACAAACTTCAATTTCTACCTCAATCGCTGCAGCCCGCACTGTTTCTCCTTTAGGCGTTGGTTTAGGGGAGAAACGTCGTTGGGGTGATCCGGCATTAACAACAGAAATTATTACAACAACAACAACTACCTGCGTTACTCCTCAAGAGATTTTAATTCATCCTCAACAACAACCTGAACGTTCAGAGACGCCAATTGCTGCTAGAACACGAGCTGCTAGTATGTTAATGGCTACAGCAATGTTGGGAAGTGGTATTGATTTTAATTTAAAATTTTTTAAATAAAATCCCCTTAATTTAAAGGTCCAAATAATATCGACTCTTCAAATGATCGTCAAGTTCTCACAGCAGCTAGACGTACACGTGTTCGTATTTTATATTCAGCTTCTCAGCACCAACAACAACAAAAGGGAGGATTAGCTCCTCCATTTCAACAAATGCCACAAACAATTCAAGGTAGACGAGGACAAGTAGCTCCAATGTTGGGACAATCACCACCTTATATGTTGGCTAATAAACGTGGAAGACACTGCTCTAAGAGTGGAATGTCTCCACCACGTCCGTCACTTAATTTTGATAAAATGAGAAAGGTTTTTTGTGATTGAGAAGACTTTCTTCTAAATTTATTTTTATTTAAAGAGAATGTTAAACAATGTTAGTAATAATTGTAATGATTTGGAGAACTTGACTTTAAATGAAAAAATTCGAGAGAAAAATGGAACTGATTGACTGAGGGATTAGAAATAGAGTGAAGGTGTTTGAAAATAAAAAAAAATTTTCTTAAAAATTAATTTTATTTTGAAAGAGGGAGGAGGGGAATTAAATAGTTAAAATATATATTTAAGGATATTTTTTTAAAAAATAATATTTTTTTGTTAAAAACAACAACAACATCGAGTCATTTTAATTTATTTTTTATTTATGTAGAAAAAGCAAAAGAATTAAATATTTTTTAAATTTAATACTAAAAGTGAGAGGGAATATAAATATTTAAAAAAAATTTCTTAAAAATTCTTTTGCTTTTTCTCTCTCAATAAAAACAAAAACCAAACAAAAAAACCTCTCTTTAATTAAAACTAAAAATCTCTTTTTTTCTCTTTTTAAATATTTTTTTTTGTTATTTTTTTTCTAAAATTGTTCGTGCATTACCCACCACTAAATAAACGAACAGAAAAAATTTTTTTAACTTTTCTTTTTTTAGTAAAAACAACCAAAAATCCTCTTACTTTTAATTTTACTTTGCACATAAAAATATTTAAATAGAAAATTAGCTTTTTTTAAAATATTGCTTTGTTGATTTATTTTAGGGAAAAATATAATTATTTTTAATTTTATTTAATTATTTGTTAGAGAAATTATAATTGTTTTAGAAGAGGTTATTTATTGACCAGAGATTTTTGTTTCAAAGTTGGAAAATAAAAACAAGATTTTTGTTCGAATTTTAAAATTCTCTAACAAATAAATTTCTTTTTTTAAATACCACAAAAAACGTTGAGCAACGTACACTTAATTAGCCTGCCTATTTCTATATATTAATTAAATTATTAGAATTTAATTAATTATATATATAATTATTCTAATCAATTTTTTCTTAAATTACTATTATATTTTTTTCAATGACTCTTTTTCTACCTTAAAATTAAAATAAATAAAATTAAAAATACACTCATCTGAATATTAATATTTTTTATTTTTTTCTATTCATTTTTTAAATTAATTCATATTTTAATTCCTCGAAAAAATTTTTTTAGAATTTTTTTCTTTAAAAACTCCTCATTAATTTGCCTGTTTTCTTGCTTAATTAAAAAAAGTTATTTTAGTTTTTTTCCTTTTTTAATTTAAAAACAACTAAAAATCCTCAACTTTTAATTTTCATTTTAAATTAATTTTTGCACCAACTTTGTAAAAATTGGAAAGTTTCTGAAAAAGTTTAAATTTCCAAAAACTTTTTTTCTTTATTTTTCCTCCTAACAATTTATTTTACAAATCCTCCTTTTCCTTTTATTATTTTTCTATTTCTACATTTTTATTTGTTTTTAGTTTTTTTCGGCCCAAAATTAACTAAAAGTGCCACTCACTAAACAAATAAAATTATTATTTTTCTCCCCTTTTTTTTTAATATTATTTTTCCTTCTCCGATCATCAAATTGGCGGTTATCGTGAAGAGTCGACGAATTGCTCAATTTTTACGACGGCGCGTTGCTGGTGAACGTTTTCTGTCCTTTTTTTATTTCAAAAAATACTTAATTTCAAACAAACCTAATAATTTTGTTGAAGGCCATTTATTGGAGAAAATGGCTGTTTTTTAATTTAAAATATAAATAAATGTTAGTTTTAAATAAAAAATATTTTTAGAAAAAAAGAGGACAGCAACGTTTGCTCGCCTAGTTTTTTTTTGTTTAGTTTTTTATTGTTTGGCGGCTGATGGTCACTAAATAAATAAATATTCCTTTAAATTGTATGTCCACTTTTTTTTAGAACAAATACAAAAAATTACAAAAAAATCCTCCTTTCTTTTCTTTTCACACATTTTCTTTCCCGAAATTTGCAACAATTTTTTGTTCGGTATATTAACCAAAAACCAACCTAACAAAAGAAAAATAATTAAACAATACCTAATGAAAAATAATTGCAAATCCGAGCACAAACAAATAATTGAAGGATAAATATGGAAAATTGAATATAAAATTGAGGGACAGAAAAAAATAAATATTTTAATGAAAAAAAAAAGAAATTATTTTTATCCGTATTTATCTTTCCTTTGAGTTTTTTTATTATTTTTTTATTAATTATTAAAATAGTTGGACCTCTACATTAGCTGTTAACACTCTTTATTTATAAAGATTAAGAATTATTTTAGACCCTAAAAGAGAGTACATACATATAAATATTATCAAAAAAATTTTGAGAATTCTAGAATAATTTTTTGGCATTTTTTAGTCCTACCGATACTTAATAATTTTTTGCCATAACCAAAATTCTTTGTATTGAGTGAAAATTAAAAAAAATGTATTATTTATTATTTTACTTTTAATAAAAGTATGTATATATTTTGTAGAGTTCCAACAAACAATTTAAAAACGCTTCGCGCACAAGTCACGATTTCCTCAAATTTAGATTTTGATCGGTATCTCTCTCTTTTACTTTAATTTTTAATTTAATTGTTTACCACTAAAAATTCTCTAAAAATTTCGGTGCCGGCTTCGCCCATTTTTAAACGGCGCCACAGTTAAAAACTACTTAAAATAAATATTTCTGTTTCTCTTTTTTTTTCTTAAATTTTGTTTCCCTTTTTCTCACAAAAACGCTTTAAAATATTAAATATTTTTCAGAAAAATAAAAAAAATAATTTTCAAAAAAATCATTCCCTTCTTCACTCTCTCTCCTTTTAAAATTAATTTTTTTCTCTTTTCACTTCTTTATTTTTAATAATTTTTCAAAAAAAATTTCGTGCATTTTTTAATTTAGTAAAATCTGTGGTGGATTTTTGCACCTCAATATTTAATTTTTAGCAGCTTTTTTAAAAATAAAAATAATTAATTATATATTTGTTGTGTTATTTTTTAAATTAAAAAGCTTATAAATAGGTCATTATTTTTTTAATAAATAATTCTTACAAGAATTATGTACTCAATCATTATTATTTTATTAATTATTTTAAATAAAAAAATTTTTGAAGAAAGAAAGTTTGAAAAAAAATATTTTTAAAAATATAAAATTACCCATAAAATAATAATTTTTAAAAAATATTACTTTTTGCAACACTCTCTCTCTCCCCTCTCTCTCCTCTATTTCCTCATTATTTTCTTAAAAATCTTCCGCCTCGGTTTATGCATCCCAGTCATTTTATTTAAAAAAAATTTGCACTCTCTTCTCTCCCCTCTCTTATTAAAAATTAAATTTTCTCATTTTTAATTAAACTTAATATATTTAGATTAAAAAATAAATACAACAATTTACAATCCTCTCTATTTTTATTATTTTACCAGAAATTGCATTCGTGTTATTTTTTTCTTTTTATTATTTTTTAATTAACGTATAGTTTTTTGCTAATAAATAAATTTGTTTTTTTTCTTTTGTTAATTAATTATAACAGAAATATTCCAAATTATTTTTAATAATTTGGAAAAATAAAGGGAAAATTATCTAGTAGGCATTATTTGCCATGTCAGTAAAAATCTACAAAAAATCTAGTAGACTTAAATAAGAGTTTAAAGAGGATTTCTCAAAAGAATTTTTTTAATCACTTTTCAATGCTGAAATCTAAATTTCTGATTAATTCAAACCGAGATAAGAAAAGGGTTAACTGACATAAATGATTATTAAACTGGTTTAAAGAGTTTCAGTCAATATTTATGATTACCTCACTTAAGGTAAATAATACCTCACTTAAATCTAAAAATGTCAAAAAAGGGCGAGATCAAGATTTCTTTATGAACAAAAAAAATCCAGGAAATGTTTCAAAACCAAGAATTTTGGACAGCTAGAAATTTCAGATGATGCTATATCTCATCACCTCTCACAGCTACATATAAATTTAGTTAAAGAATAATTTTTTAAAAAATTTTGGGGATAGATTTTTAAACTTAAAAAAAAATACAAAAATAATTTTTAAACAAATTCTCAAAAACACCAAAACTTTAAAATTTTAATTTAAGCCTTAAAAATTACATATTTATTTAAAAAAATATAATATCAGAAAAAAATAATAATTAAAATATATTTAAGTCACTCGGTAAATTTAAAAATAAAATTTATTTAAAAAATCGTTGTTTATTTAAATTTCTTTCCTTTTTTTAATTTTAATCAATATTTTGTTGTTGTTGAGTGTCAGCAAGTATTATTTTTAATTGAGGATAAACTTCATTAATTAATAATAAAAGTGCAGTTCCCAACATTGCAGCTCTAAGTTGGATATCTTTTTGTTTTGACCTTTTAATTTTAAATTAATTGAGAAAAGGAAGTAAAAACCAACATAAATTTAACAATTAAAGTATTCCTTTTCATTGCAAATTTAGGTCTAACATGCCCCAAAACTGTTTGACCATCTGGTGATTTTAACCAATAAACACAATCTGTGCCCATTACACCAATTGCTTTGCCAAAAGATTGGAGAGAAACATGCACCTTTTAATTAAGATAAAATAAAAAATAAATTATTTACAAGTAAGATTATTGCCTAAAAACTAAAGAATTTGGCCAGGAACATTTAATGGACATACATATCCTTTTCAAAAATTAGCCTGATTTTGATTTTGTTTGTTTTAAAATGAGCAAATAGCTTTTTAAATTTCTGAAAAAGTTTTGCTTAAAATATTTTTTAATTTTCCCTTTCCAATTAATTTTACCCTTCTCAACATTCTCTAATTTTAAATAAAATTTTTTACTACCTTCTCCACTCGTAAAACTATAGCCTCATCAGAACTTGCTCTAACTAATTTAAGATCGGGACCAGAAGGACAACGCATTAACTTTAATTTTTAAATAATAATTATTTCTTTTTTCTCTATTAAAAACAATTCACTTTGTAAAGAGTAGCTTGTGATGGATGTAATAATTTCCCCAAAGAGTCAGCAGAATGAACAGGCAAACGAATTAACATTATAGTTTTCCCAACAGCATTTTTTAAAATTAATCCTCCACGTTGTAATTGAGCGCTCATTAATGGACGTTTTCGATTAGCTTCGTCTCGAATTGAAAAAGTTATTGACTCTAATCTGTCTGGTTCTGGTCTCCATGCTGGCAATTGGAGAAGACAACGATGTCTGAAATTAGGGAATAAAAAAACAAAAAGCTCTATTCAATAAACATACACTTGTGGATCAAGTAATTTCATAGAAAGTCTTTCTGTGTGTGTTAAAACCCCACATTCGGGCAGATCTTGGAAAACATAAGCATCTGTTGCTTTCTGTACAACTTTTGCTAAACCCCCAGTTATTTGATCTACAAGCTTTGGATACATTCCAATTTGGTTATTTTCTGATTTTGTAGAAGGCTTTATAAAAAATAAAAAAAATAATTAAAAGTTTTTATAATAAATAAGAGAAGAAAGAAAAAACAAAAAATATATTTATTATTTAACATAGATATGGATGAATTTCAATGAAAATTTTTTTGAAACTTGTTCCGAATAAATATTTAAATATTTACTTGTTTGAAGAATTATAAAAGCAAAAAGAGAAGAAAAAAATAATTTCCAAAAATAATTTTTAAGATGTAACAACAGCTGTTTTAATATAATATTTGAAAGAAAAAAAAAGGAAAAAAAATATTTTTTAGACTTGTTTTTGTTTAAATTTTAAAAATAATCTGTATATGTATAAATTACTAAAAAATACTTTAGTTGATTTAAAAGAAGTTGGAAGTGGTGGTGGGAGTGGTGCACAATTCGAAATAGGTGCAGGAATTAATTTAGTTGAAGTCTTTTTATTTTTTATTGAATTTTTATTCTTTTTTGTAGAAAAAGATTTTTTATTTTTAATTATTTCTTTATTTTTTAAAGCTAAATCTATTTTTGTTTTATTAGAATTTTTGTTAATTTTTAAACCAAAAAGTGAAAAAAATGGACGGCGACAATAAAGTTTTTGTCCAATTTTTGTAGATTTATTTAAAACTTTTGTGGACATTTAAAGGAGGGAGAGGATGGGGGAGAATTGTTTTGAAAATAAAAATGAAAAAAGTTTTGAAAATACAAAGGTTTATATATTTTAAAATTGTTGTTGAGATCATCAAGAAAACATTTTATTTTAAATTAACCCAAAGAATTTAAAGAATTAAAAATGTTTTTTAAAATAATTAAAAATGAATCAACAAAAAAATTTAGAAAAAATGATTGTTAAATTTTAGAGAGATGATAAAAAAAGAATAAAATTAAAAAGAAAAGTTTGAAAAAAAAGAAAAATGTTTTTAAAATTATACAATTTTTTTTTATTTTTTTGTTTGATTATTCAAAAGTGTTTCCATTTGATAAACAATAATAGAATGTATTTTTCATTTTTTGATAAAACAAAAAAATCTCCCCTCCTAAAATATAAAAAATTTTTTAAAGAAACCCAAATATTTTTGATTAAATAAACATAAATACTAACTAGAAATTTAATGTTTGTTTTGTAATCTGAATCTAATAAAGTGGAAATTAATTTGTTGGGGTTGTCAAGTGTGGTTATTGAGGAATAAAATTAAAGAAAAATTCAAAACAATTAATTAAGTTTATAAAATTATTTTATTTTGGTTAGAGAATTTAGTTTACTCTATCTCGAATTAAATATTGTGTTAATGTGTAAATAGTAAATGCTCACGAAAGTTAAATTAAAAAAAAGGACAAGGTTAATGGATTAAATATACACATAAATTCCATTTAGTTATTCTCTCTTTTCTACTATTTACAAACAAATAATTGAGGGAAATCAACAGGAAATCGATCAAAAAACACACAAACACACATTTTCATTCAATAAATTCTTAATCTAAAATTAAATTAATCTAAAATTAAAAACAAAAAAACATCATTCTCTAATAAATAAAATGATTGAATGATAATAACCAATTTAAAGGAAAAAAATATTTTTATGATTAACTACTCAAAACTATCCCCAATTTTATCAAATTAGTTTAGAGGTTGTTAATTCTTATTGATTTACCTTCCCAATTTTACAAATTTCAAAATTATTTAGAAATAAAAAAGTATAGTAATTCACATTCCCCTTGAAAAAACCAGTTTTTGATTATAAAAATAAAATTTTTAAAATGAATGAGCAAGTTTTTTTATTGAATTTATTTTATATTTATTCATTCACCTATTAAATAAAACAAATTTTAAAATATTTTTATAAAAAAAATTTAAATTAAAAATAAATTAAAAATTAGATGTATTTGTATTTAAAAACATATAAAAAATATAAAATATTCAAAAAGAAACAAAAACAAGAACAAAAAATTAGCAGATAAATCCAAAAATATATTTTTTGTATTTTTAATTGTAAATTCATTCAAAGCATTATCAAATCATCATAATCCCTATTATTTTTTGTTTCCTCACGTGATGAAATATCAATCACTTCACCACAATCAAAACCAATTGGACCTTCAAATTTGTTGCTACTTTTGGATGCGTTATTGTTATTATTTAAATTATTATTTCCCAAAAGAGAATTAGACGTCCCAACCATTGATTGTTGTTGTTGACTAGAAATAATTTAATTTAAAAATTAAATTTTCTTATTAAAATTCACCAATGTTGAGTATTTTTTACAAGAAAATCAGAAGAATTATCACTCCCACAATCATTCCCAAATAAGTCATTCCCCAATCCAATATCATCCCAGCTTTGGGACTGAAGATTATTTTTATTAATATTTTGCTTTTGTTGTTGTAAAATTTTTCCAAAATTATTTTCAATTGTCGGTGGAGGCGTGGAACGAATAATTAAATCATGATCCCCAAAATTAGAAGAAAGATCCGAGAAATAATGTTGAGAACTTTAAAATTAAATATTTAAAAAGAAAATTTAGAAAAAATCTTTCACCTTTCAGCACTTGCATGGCTTGAAGAGTCATTATTAAACGGAATAGTATCTAAAATACAGGGTGACAAGAAAGTTCGGAGTTAAGTATTTATGTACATAACTTCAATCAAAAACATTCTACGGATATAAAATAGATATGATAAGATAGAGAGCTAAATAGAGAATAAATTTTAATAGATGTTCAAAAGATTCCACCCTTCTGCGTTGATACATGGTCGAACGCGTGCGTTAAGATTTTTGATGAAAACTTGCACCGGTTTTTGTGATTGATGACTTATAACTTGGGAACGGATTGTGTTACTGATTTGAATTTTTGAGGGAAGCTAGAGGGATCTCTGATCTTCAAAACTTATAAAGCAAAAAAATTTTAAACTAAGAATTTAGAGAGATATTTATGTACAAATAACCCACGCTAAACAAAAAAATTCGTTTCCCCCCAAAACCGAATTACATCTACTCACAGCCCTTCATGTAAGAGTTACAAGTTTAATATTTAAAATTCACCCGGGTCGCCTATAAGCTTAATTAAATTCTTTTGAAATCACGCAGATCTGACTTTTCAGCGTTGAGATACCGAAAGTAAAATTTTGTGGAGGAAATTTTGGTATGCCTTACGGTTATGGCTATAACTTTTGTTATATCGGAAAATATATTGCGTAATTTTGTAAAATGATAGAGAATTGAATGGCCTATAAAATGAGTATAAAATTATTAAAAAATATTAGGTGTACAGAAAGTTATGGTGAAAAAAATTTTCACTCCGAACTTTCTTGTCACCCTGTAGGTTGAATGATATTTTTAATTAATTAATTTTCTAACCAGGAAAATTCGCATGCCAAAATTGTTTGAAATCTTCCACATATTTCGACGGAATTGGTTTTAAAATCGAATTTTTCTGATCAGGAACAGGTGGATCATCACCAAAGTTGGGCAAAAGGGATGGCTGTTTCTGACCCATCAAATCAACCGTTTCCGGTTTTTCATATCCAACCAAACCAGAAAGAGATTTTGCCGTTGAATTTTGTTGTTGAAAATTATTTGATAAATTAGTTTTATTAATCCCATAATTTTGTTCTTGTAAAACAACATTATTAGAGAATAAATCATCGGAGAGATAATTACTAGTCACATATTCATCAACTTTATGTCCATTTACTAATTTACTATCTTCAATAATTTTAATTTCGTCGATTTTTAAATTGTTCTAAAAATTATTTTTAATATTCAATTTTAATAATAAAAGAGAAGAGAGAATTTTAATAAATTTAAATCGAAGATAAGAATTTCAAGTATTTATTCTAACATAGAAGACTATAGTAATACTATAATTAATCAAAAAGAAATTGCAAAAATAATTGTAAGTGAAAATGCAATAATAATAATTACTCGTAAAATTCAATAAATTAAATTAAGCATCTCTCTCATCATTAACAAACTTCCTCCTCATTTCTTAAATTTTTTTCCTTGTTTTAAATCTGTATAAAATAAAAAATACAAATTTAAAAAAGAAATATGAGGAGGAAGAGAGGATGATGAGAGAGAAAACTTTAGAATAAATTTACAACCCAAAAAAATATTAAAAAAATCGTGTGCATTTAAATAAAATTCTCTCTTCCCCCGATGCCTGCACACGTTTAAAAACATAAACCCCTTACCTGTAACATATTCTTTTCCGAAAGATAAATTTGCCAATAACATCCATAACTTTTCTGAATATGTGATAACCAAAGATCAACTACTTTACCACGTAAATCTTAAAAATAATTTATTGTAGATTCGATTTGTATCAACAAGTAAAATTACCATTATAATCAATAACTGCATTAACCAAAAGTACATTTCCAAGTTCAGTCTCGATATATTGGCGTTGTTCAGTTTCAGTGTTTTCTTTCATGTCCTCAGTGCAATCCCTGATATTCTCTTGTCTAAAGTTGCATTTTACAAAAGCCTAAAATTAATATTTTAGAATAAATGAAAATAATTAATTTAAATATTACCAGCACAAATTGTCCAAGAACAACACGAGTTTCAATCAATTGTCTTTTATTAAGCTTATATTCTGGTAAGCACATAAATTGATAGGTTAATTCATTAAGTTTTGGTTCATTAACTCTAGAAAAAGTAGCACCAATAAATCGTCCTAACACAAAAAGTTGATCAAATTCTTCTTGGCTATAAAATTAAAAAAAGCAAATTGTGATTTAATTTTCATAAAAAAATTTTTAAGAAAAAATGAAAGCAATTTTTCAATTCACCTATTCATATATCGAGGCAATACAATTGCATCCCCATATAATCTTGTAAAAAGAATAGCAAAATTAGGAGTTTTCGCAACGACGATGCCAAGTTGACGCTAAATTGTTTTTAGTTAAATATAAAATTTAGTTATTAAAATTAGAGAAAAAATGAATTTCTGAGCAGGAATGTCTTTAGAAAAACAAAAAGTGGAAGGAAAGCAAAGCCCAATTAAAATAAATTATTCTTAAAATTTCTTGATTTCTTTAGAAAAATTTTGATTTTCTTTAAAAGATTCCCAGTTGACAGTTGTTGTAGTCTCAATACATTGTTATCCATTCCCTATATTAATTACCTTAGTCTCTCCACCAGCAGGTTGATATCGATTTAATTCCATTATTAATTTTGAGCAATCATCCGTCCCATGATTAGAAACAATTCGACTTGCAGGTTTGTGAGATTGGAATGATTTGGAGGGAGATGCTTGTTGATGACTTTTAAAAAATTAATTAAGATTTTTAAACAAATAAAAATTGAAAACAAAAACCTTGTTAGACGTTCAGAAATGTTAGATTTTTGGATGTTTAAGTCAGAAACTTTAGGCAGTTGATATGGAAGTGTATTGGCAAAATGATGATTTTCTTTAGAAGATTCCCAGTTATAACTATTGCTTGTATTTTGATTTAATATCGAAGAATCAATATTGCTCTGTTGAGTAATATTTTGTTGATTTGATTTATTCTGTTTGGACAATTCATCTTCATCATAAATTTGATCCAAAAGAATTGTATGGGCGTCATCACATGTCAGTCCCATCTCGTGAGGAAAATGAGAAAGCTACAAACAAAATTGTTTTCTTCAAAAAATATAAAATACTTTAAGAGCAACACAATTAACAGTTTTGTTGTACTCCCCGTGATTCTTAAGGATTTTCCAAAATCGTAAGCTTTTATCTTCCCCCGATCGCGAAAAGCACAATTCAACGAGATATCCGGAACTGCAAAATTGACCATTCTGTTGTGGTCTCATTAAATTGTCCAAATCATATATTTTGCCCAAATATTCATTTCTGAAGATTTTGGAGGCTTCGGCTACCACTGGGCAACAAAGCTGTAAAAATGATTTTAAATCAAATAAAATATTAATCAAAACAAACCAGCAATTTATTAATTCCTTTATCGTTAACTACCCGCGTTGACATAAGAGGGCCAGTTTTCTTACTCCTTTTAACAATATACGAACCAAGATCACGTATTTTATTTTTAAGTAATAGGGGCGGTCTTTCATCAGGAACAATTGTTGTAACAACCCAAACTCCCAATTTTAATTCAGTAGGTTGACGAGCTAATCCAAACTTTGTCGCAATAACAGCAGTTTGTCCATCGTCTTCAAAACATACAACAACTCCAATAGCGTCAATAATCTATTCGTAATTGTTGAGCAATTTCAAAAATAAATTCTTACTTTTTCTCCATCGTGACGATAACCCTTCCAATCGGTAGGCGCCTTAAATCGATTTGTACCCAGCAATTCATCATTCATAGTTTCGAATGCAGCCGTTGCTCTGTTTTCAAATCGAGTGAAAAAAGGTTGGACTTGACTATCGACAGTTAAAGGTAAACCAACAATCTTGAAAAATATGTATGGATTTTTAAATAAAATTAAAGTTTATTATGTAAAAACCTTTCTCCAATAATCTTTATCACGAAAAGCAAAAGCCATCCATCGGTTGTTATGCTTATAAGCATCAGTAAAAATAGCATAAACATCAATAGAAGCATCATCATCCTCCATTTGTTCCTTTAATACACGATCCTTACAACTGCACAAAACAGATTGAAAGAAAGAATCATTTGCAGTAAAGAATTCACTGCTGAAAGCTTTTCCAGAAGAGAGATTGCACTTAACCTAAATAATTTTTAAAATCAAAAAGTCAATCTGTTGGATTTAATTAATTTTCTATTTTCGTGATATTTCGACAAGCACCAAAAATTAAATTTTAGAATAATGCGCATTAATAGGCTTGAATGCAAAATTTAAAGAGAAAGAATAAGCAAACAGGTTCAAGAAAATTTGTAGTTTGCTTAAATTCCTATAAAATTTACATACCGCAACATTTTCATTTTTAAGTAGAGTAACATCTTTGAGTGCTTTAGTCTTTTTTATATCATAAGCAGTATATTTACAAACAACTCCATTAGCAATTTGAGATTCTTCAGGCATACAACGATACTTAACCCATTCACAGAGAGGCCACTACAAAATAATTTTAAATATAAAACGATTACAAAATTATATTTTACTATAGGAGGTTGATTATCTCCATCATTTTGATGTTGACCAAATTGTACACGAACAAGATCGTCAAATGGATTCCAAATAACAGAATATTCTTTCTTGCAAATAACAACTAAACCAATTTTCTCTTCACCTATGCAATAATTTGGAATAAAATTATTGAATGAAATGAGATAAATAATTTAAAAGATACCTTCACTCGAACTTGAATCGTGCAATGTTTCAACAAAATTAGAATTTTCTTGTTGTTCTGAAAATTTTTATAAATTACTAGTTTTCATATAATTTTATTAAAACCTTTGTAAACATTTTGTCTTTCCAAATCATTTCCGTTAATTCTATTGTTGGAAGCACTGCCACGAGAATCTGACTTAAATTATTTATACGAATAAGAAAATATTTTTAAAATAATACATTAGGGTCAAGAGGTAAACCAATATCGGTTTCTTCACTGCTATTAAACATATCCTTCCAAGTCTAAAATATTGATATTAATAGGTAAATAAATCAAAACTAACACAAAGACTCCAAAACCTCTCAACAGCCTCCGGATCAGTACATTTTTCAAACTGTCTGCCGAGTACAGCAAAGATGGTACCAATTTTCCTAGCCAGAGGCTCCCAACGGTGTGGAATGCTAAATTAAAAAATATAAATTATAAACAATTAAAATTAAAGACCGTGTAATATATGCACGATAAACAACGCCTTCTTCATATTCAACATTATCTAGATAGGAAGCAACCAAAAGAAAATCTTGTGCCCATGCAATACCTTTCAGTCTCTGATAAAAAGGATATAAAAATTAATCAGAAAATTTTTTAGTTTCAAATGATTTAAACACACAAAAATATTTGTAGGAGATTCCAGATAATTCAGCTGACAGAAGAATTTTGTTAAATGACCCAAAATCTATAAAGTAAAATATCCTTACATCTTCATCATCATTCTCCATTGCTTCTCTGTATTCCCTAGAAGAATGTGATGCAAAAACCAAATTCACTTCAACTTTCCAATGAATTCTTGGACTTCTCACAATCTTGAGCTGATTTTGAGCTTTTTCATGTTTAAGTAAATTGTGCACAATCTGCGGTGCAAGTCCATCATGTGATTGAACATAACGTACAACATCCCCAGGCTGTTAAAAATAATAATAATTTGGTTAGTAAAATAAATTAACCTCAAAAGTCAAGTTTGGGTTTAAAGGAAATCGAAGCTCCAAAGGCCCAAGTTTTGTATTCCAAACATAATTATAAAGTCTGTCAATATAGGTGATGATTCCAATTTTTGTTTTATCACTTATTTCGCCCATTCTGAATAAATATAAATTTGGCGAGAAATTTAAATTAAATAGCATATATGTATGATTAGGGCCTCACAAAACATGCAAATGCATGTTTTGTATGCGGATACGCCTTGATGAAACCCAGAAATAGCGTTTTTACGGGGGGAAACGCAATGAGATTAAATTTATTTGTTCATAAAGTGGTCGACAAAAAAATATGGACAAACTCGAGCGAAATGAAAATCACCTATTTTCTCGGTTAAAAATCGATTTTAGGAAATTTGTCCCTTCTTTTTGTCGACCACTGTAATTCTGAGCTTAAAAATTAATTTATTTAACATCTTATTGCTTAAATTCAACTTTTTTGATAAATGGGACAGCGGGAAAACGCAATGAGTAACAAATGGGAAATCGACAAAATGGTACTTGACATAAAGTAAACAAAAGTGATCGAAATATGGCAGAATACCCAGGGAGGGTTAGTATGAGAGAGACAATTTTTCTTTACATTTTTCAACAGATTTTTAATCCTTTTTGGGTAAATCTCAAAAATTAAAAAATAGGGATTAGAATAAGTTAATCTAATTTAAAAATTTAATTAGTTTCTCTAACTATATTTATTCTAAATTTTAAAAATAAATTTAAAAATATTTATTTATTTTACACGATCCTTCAACCCAAATTAAAAAAAACTACAAATTAACTACAATTATTTAGTAAATGGGGAGAATCAACATTTCTTTTTTTTTCTTTTTTCATCATTGGGGGAGGGAGAGAAGTTAAAGTCGACGACATTCTTTTGGTTCCAAAACTTTTTCAACAATACTGTGTTGTTTATAATTATTTAATTCCAATTGTTGATTATTTCCAATTAATTGTCTGTATTGATTTAATAAATTACGAGCTTCAGAATCAGAACGAGGCATACAAATAAATGGAATATTTTTTGTTGTAAAATGTTTAGAATTGTTTTCTTCTTCTTCTTCTTCAAATTCCCAACCAGTTGGATAAGTACCCATTGGGCATTGTTTAATTGGTTGTTTTGAAAAACAAATTTCATTTTCCATTTCCATTATTTTTGTTCTCAAAATTGGTACTAAAATAAATAAATTTAATTAAATATTTAAATTTAAATATTTACATAATCCTCTTCTTTTTAAATTTTTATTTCCAGATTTTGTTGTTGCCAATTGGTTTTTCTGTTGATTATTATTATTTCCTTTCCCCTCTCCTTCTTCATTTTCTCCATACCATTCTTCATTATTATAAAAATATTTACTATTTTCTTCATCAAAATTTCCATTAAATCCTTCCTCATCCCAATTTTGATTTAATTTATTATTTTCTTCTTTTCTTTCCTCCTCCTCCTCCTCCCCCCTTTCTTCTTCTTTATTTTCCTCCATTTCATTTAAATATCCAAATTTATTTGAATTTTCTTCATAAAATTTATCAAGTTCTTGTGCATTACACAATTTATCATCATTGTCATAGCTATTTGAAAGTGAATAAGAACGATGGAATTGTGTCAGAGATGAAGCTAAAAAAGAAGTAATTTTATTAAAATCTCTTCCCCCTTCCTCTTCCCCCTCCCCTTCCCTTCTCCCTTTCTCCTTCCCTTCCCTCCAACTTCTCCCGTCCCCTTTCCTCTCCCTTCCCTCCCCTTCCTCTTCCCCCTTCCTTCCCTTCATTACCAATTTCATTATTAGCCATTAACAATTCATTTTCATCATTACTAGCATCATCATAATGTCCACAAAGTCCACATTGAGTATTTTTATAATCACTAGATATTTTAATCCAAACTTTGTATCCATTAAAACGAACAGCCAATTTATCCCAATTAATTATTAAATCATTCTTTTGGTTATTATTATATTGAATTAATTGTTGTTGTTGATTATTTTCTTCTTCTTTTCCATTAATTTTACATTTAATTGGGGAATTGTGATTATTATTTGGTGTTTCTCTTTGACATTCAACAGACATTTGAGGGGAAAGTAATTTTAATTTCTTTTGACTATATTTATTTCCTCTTTCAATAGCTTTCATTAAAACAACAAATCGAGGAACTCCCCCCATAGCCCCACAATCTTTTGCCAAAACTGAATAACAATTTGTTGAAAGAGGTGAACGATATTCTCTTTCATCTAAATTTTTAAAGAATAAATTTTTATTTATTTTTTCTAACCAAAAGTCTCAACAGTTTGTCCATCAACAGAACATTCAGCTCTACTTTCCACTTCCTGTCGAGTTAAAAACTGGTCGAATGATTGAATGTTTTGATGAACATTTTGTTGTCTCAACAAAGGGAAAGGGCGCATTTGAATTGGTAATTCAATTTGTTGGAAACGAATTAATTGTTCTGGGGTTTTGACTGTCATATTGGCATGTTTTTGAGTAATTGGATCAATTACAATATTTAAATATGTCTACAAAAATTGAAAAAAATGTGAAAAGAATATTGAATTGAAATTACCCTCCCTCGATTAATTACCCTCCCTCCAACGAGAATTCAGAGTAATTATTCAAAAAAAGGTATGGAATATCTTCTCTCATTTTATGGGGGGAGAATATCCCTCATATTCTCCCCTTTTTCTTCAATTTTTACCTCTCCATTTGCCGGATTTCTTCCTCTGCTTGAATCAATTAATTGTGATTTTGTATTCCAAAAATATTTAGATTTAACCAATTCCAAAACTCTTTCAAAAACATTTCTTGTTGTTGGCTTTAAATTTGTATATTTTGCTTCACAATTAAATTTATTAATAAAAGCAGTTCTTCTTTTTAATTTTTTATTTTCCATTCTTTGTCCTTCCATTCTTCTTGTTGATTGTTCTCCATTAATTCTAACATTAATCGTTTGTTTAGATCTATCATCATCATTTCCCCAATAACAATTTGCTTTACAAGAATATAAATTATTTTTTAATTTATTTTCTTCTTCTTCTTCATTAAATTCTTCATTATTTTCAACATTTTCAGGCATAACCATTTCTGCTGAAGCTTTTAATGTCCATTTTTGTTGTTCATTATTTATTGGACTTCTTTCTGCTAAAATTTCTAATTGACATGTTTGCATCATTTCTTCACATTTTGCTTCTAATTTTGTTTGGAATTTAAATTCTTTTAAACCTCCAACAGTTTGTGCAGACATTTCTAAATTATGTTTATAATATTTTTGTTGTTTTGAATAATTTGTTAAGAATTTTGACATTTTTTGTTGTCTTTTGTTGTTGTCTTCTTCTTCTTCATAATTATTATTTCCTTCTCCTTCTTCTCCTTCTTCGTTTTCAATATTTTTAAATTTATTTAAATAAAAATCATTCATTTTTAATTGATAATTATTTGTTGGTTGGAAACTTTCTAAATTCATTCGAAAAACAACTTGACTTGCAGATTCTTCTCCTCTTGGTTGGTAAGTGACGTGAATGGCATTTTCTGTTGCCATTAACATTTTACAGATTTGTTCAAAATTAACAGAAGATGAAGGCCAATGGTAGTGAGCTTAAAATGAGAGAAATTTTAGAGAAAATATACATATATATTTGTCCCTTAATAATCCCTCAATAACATCCCCCTCACTTCCCTCTCTTTCTAAAAACCACTCCCTCCCTTCCCTTCCCTTCACCAACCATGTACATTAACTGGAATACCCAAATCCTTTCCACCAATTAAAGTATTCATTTGATATTGGAATCTATCCAAGTTTGGAATTCTAATTGTTCTAACTTGTCTAGGTTCAATAACTAAATTAGTTTTTGGATCAACATCAGCTGTATAGACAAATGGATGTGAATGAGCCCCAACAAGTCGAGTCTTTTCATTTGGCAATTTAACACTCATAATTAATGATTGTTTTCCATTATTTGTTGTTGTTGTTTGGGCATTAATGTCTAATTTTATTGGAACATTAATTTCAATTGAACGAATAGATTTAACACCAGAAACGAGGAAAGGAGTCCAACAACGCTTTAAAAATTAAAAAATATTTTCTTTTAAAGATTGTTTGGAGTACCATTTTTTGTATATGTGCCATTCCACCCATTATACGTCCATTAATTTGTACTTTTACTCCCATTTCTGTATTCTTTTGTAAATTAACATTTCCTTCAACATTTAAAATTGTTGGAACAGAATTTACAATTCCAAGGGGAAGACCAACACAAGTTGGAATAACTGCTTCTTTATCATTTAAAATTGATGCAATTGTGTATTGATGAACTTTTTGTTGTTGTAATTGTTCTAATTCAGAAAACATTTTTGCTAAACTTGGCTTTCTTCTGTTTTGAATTGACTGAATTAATTCTGTAAACATTGGGGGAAGTGTTGGCATTGATGATGATTGACTTTGTTGTTGTTGTTGTTGTTGTGTTTGATTTAAATAAGAATTTTGTATTTCATAACAAGAATGGTCTACATCCCCAATTCTTGTACAAAAAACATTAATATTATTGTTATAGCTATATTGCTGTTGTTGTTGTTGTTCTGATCTTGTAAATTTATCATTATATGTATATCCTCCATGACGACTTTTTATTCCAAGTTGACTGTGCATATCTTTAAGTTGTTGGGTGTTTTCATTATTTTGTTGTTCAAATTCCCTTCTTTCAGAACCGCGAATGGCTGCTGTTCGACGATTGCGAGATTTTGTTGTATAATCTTGGCTATATAATTGTTGATTTTTCATTAAATAAAATACAAGATCATTAACATTTGATTGATCTTTAAAGTAAGAATCAATTTTCATGTAAGACAAGCTTGGCATCCAAGAACGTTGTGAATATTCAGTAGACAAAGTTAAGAAAATTCCTTCTTCTTGTTCGGGACTGTAAACGGGGATTTGCCATTTTCCATAACTCCAAAGTTGTTGTTCATCAACGTTAGCTGATTGCATTGCATTTTTAACGTGTTTGGCCCTTAAATTATAATTTATTTTTTAAATAAAAATATTTTTTCTTCTTCTCACATTTGTCTGTCAGCTGGATTCTTTGATTTAGCTACCATTTTCATTGTTTGATATGTATATGCTTTTACTCGTTTATTTGGCTCTTGACTCATTGTATAAATTATTT